CAAGATTTTCATATGTTTATAGATCTACTTGATTTTAACTATTTTTTTAAATATAAAATTTTAGAATTAGATATAAAAATAGATTTTAAAATAATACTAAGCACATTTTACATCAAAATTATATACCACGATACACACACCTTACCTCTACAACGATACAATTTGAAGGCACACCTGCAAACCGCACCCTTACTCTAATGACATTAGTAAAACTATAAAATTATTGTTGAATTGTTTTAATATATCTATACATTAGTTGCAAATCATATATATTGTCTCATCTTTACATATCTGATTTTTTTTCACTACGTTTTTTTGTACCAAATCCGAAATATTCACGAATCTATAACTTACCTTCTTTTTTGACGATCTATGTTTTTGACCCAATTTTTTCTTCCGACTCTTTAAAATAAAAATGATTTATTATCCAATGTTTTGCTCTGCCGATATTTTATTATTCTCCGACTTGCCAATTATATTCTCTACCATATTTTTCTATAAAATGAAGTTCCTATAAAATCTAAGCTTTATGAAAGCAAAATAAAGCCTCACCTCAAATCATCATCTAGAAAGCACATTTGACAACAAAAATCTCCAAAATGGATCTAAATCAATTTTCAACACCGACAATAAAATTTGAAACCCACAAAATGATACAAATCTTACATATCTATTAACACTTATTTTTAGGGTGAAATGATAATTTGGTACAATATACACAACTTTTAGTGCTTAAATTCCTAATTGTTTTTCACAATTAATATGTTCAATCTGAGATGATCAATAAGGTTTTCCGATGTTTGAATTGTAATTCTGGATGAATTATGAAGTGAGGCTTTACTTATTTTGACAAGGCTGCAGCCCTATCAAGCCATTTTCTTTTTCTATATAGAAATGCATTTTCCAAATTGCATTTGGATGCTATCCAAACAACCGAGCCAAATATCCATTAACATTTTTCACAAGTATTTCACGAAAAGTAATTTTTGCCGGACAATTTTTCAATGGATCCAAATAAGTTCTCAGTGGTTCCCAAAATTTGAGATTGAAAAAACCCTCCTAAGTAATTTTAGGAGTAAATGCGCTACATGGGCCTTTGGGAGCATAGCAAGTCTTCTTCGGATGCAAGCCTGAATTAAATCCTTGGCCAAAATTCCCTTCTCCAACTAGAGGTGGCAATGGACCCAGACTGATCCTGGACCCATGGTTAGAACCGACCTGGGTTCGGGCATGGTCCAAAAATTGGGCCAGTGGGTCGGTCCAGGTCTAAAATCTTGGATCCGAACAGAGTCTGAGTGTCCCCCACCCACCCACCCACCCAACCCAACCCAACCCAACGCAACCCAACCCAATCCAAACCAACCAGTTCTATTCTATAGATCGTTTATCAATGGATGCTCAATGCATGAAGTGGATGTTTAATAAATAAATTATCATATGAGAAGAGAGAGTATAGTGATTGCACCCCTTTTTTTTCTCCAACATCAAACAATAGCAATTGGCGAATCACCCAGAAACAGAGACCGGGAGCCTGTACGCCGCTTCATATTATTGTTCTGAATCATTACATCAGTTTGCCTCTACACTTTCAACTTTTGTAAACAGAAGGAATACAAGGAAATAGGGTTTGAGTCAACCTTCAGAGAAAAGAAGTATACAGTCATCAGAACCTCAGGACAGGCCTTTGGTCATCTCAAACTTTGACTCCTATCCTTTCAGCAACCTGCATCAAAGCACGTAATGGATCTTTATCTTACTAAAGGCAAACGAGAGAGAGAGAGAGTTGTGGAACTACATTGGGCAGGTAATGTATGAGGAACATGAACAAAACTTCAACAAAAGACTGATAAAAGACGAATGAATGCATATAGCTTACCTCCTTAAAAGATTGAACATCACTTCCCCAAAGCCAAGCATCACATCCTGCATCTCTTGCACCCCATAGATCGTTCCTTCGGTCATCACCCACGTGCACCGCTTCCTCGGGTTTTACTCCCAACAACTCACAGGCCTTCAAGAAAATTGTTGGGTTGGGCTTCTCTGCTTCAACCTGTTTATGGAAATGAAAAACAAATTCTATCAGCACTATACAAATAGACTACGTATGAAGCTTACCAATCACACATTAAAATAAGACATATAACACAACATAATTATACGAACCTATAAGTAATATTAGTACCACAGCTTCATTCAGATATCTAAAAGGCAAACAAAAACAAAGAAAAGAGAGCCTGTAGACGACCAATCTCACAACATAATATTAATGGTGACTCTCTCTCTCTCTCTCTCTCTCTCACACACACACACACACACATACACACACACACACACACATGCACACATGCACACACAGAAAATTTACATTTATGGCATCTAAATTTCTATTAGACTTGACTTGCCTCAGCTGAAACTGCCACTGCATCAAACCAGTGATCACACTTCAGAGCTTTCAAAAGAGGCCTCAAGCGAGTATCAAAGTTCGACACCACAGCCACCTTTACTCCCGCTCTCCTAAGGGCTTGAAATGCCTTGTCAGCTTCGGGATCACACAAGTGCCATGCCTGCAAATTCAAAGCAACACAATTATTGGGAATTTTCTCTTTCATATAAAATATTTGCTGCTTCCTTTAACTAGAAAGTAAATGCCAGCATGATGCCTTCAGAAAATTAGAATTGTGAAATTTGCAAACCTTGTCTGTGGCATAGTAATGATAAAGCTCTTCAAAGTACTGAGAATCCTCACACCCAGTAGAAGAGCTGACTATGAATTGCCAAAATGGTCTCCCATCATTTACATATCTGAAATAATAGTGAAGCATTCACTTAGCGAGCTAAAATCTTACGTGCCTTGCAGTAAAAACAGTATTCCTAACATAATAGGGTGAGAAAGGACACATTGTCAGCTAATTGTACAAGATCTCTAGAGAATAGTGTAATGACTTGAAAACCTCCAATCTAATCAGTAAATGGCTAACAATTTCTCCTTCCTCTAGTACATTGAAGGGACAGAACCTTGTAGTTTTACACCCCTGCTATGGCTTTTCTTTCTCCTCCTCCAGGTAAAGGTTGCCCTATCTAGTAATGTTACACCAAATGAAAACATGCTTTGAAGCCCTAGTGGCATGACCAAATTTGGGACCACCCCTACCGGTCTCCAATGCCTTTTCTCTCCCCTACACCAGAATTCCTTTATAGAATCCCTGCACTTTTGGGTTTGTGCCAAGCTCCAAATGTTGCAATGACCTCAAAATCTCAACGCTACTATTTTGTTGCATCCAATCCTTGAGCATTGAGATGAAATGCCAATAGGGCAGAGCCTTTCCTGTATAAATATTCATATCATAATATTGGTTCCCTTAATATATACATCAAAACCTGCAATCTTGACATTCGTTTGCAGCTTCCTAAAATAAATCAGTATAAATAGAATGGAATTTCCTATTGCCTTACAGATCATGAGAACCCAACCCTAATTTTCAGCACTGCATCATAAAATTTAAACGTTAAAGACCACGTCCCCCGCAAACCCTTCTCCTGTGCCAATAACTGCATGTCTTTAAGACATCATATTCTTTTTATCTTCTAAATTTGGTTGATTCTGGAGACAGGACCCTCGGGTGAACCAGGATGTGTATTGTTTCGGATGAGTGTCTTCCCATATGCAGTTATTCAAGCTCGATAGGGTTTTTTTTTTTTTTCTTTTCAGCAGGGTGATCCCCTCTTTCCAGGCTGAACAGTAATCATCATGGGCCTTTTGAAAATTCTGCACCAGTCAACCCAATGCTGACTACACTCGATTCAGAAGAACAACCTAAAATTACAGAGAGGTTGCAGAGCTTTTTGCTGCCTTAGTACTATTGAGAAGAATAACGAAAGCAAACATGAATTTCATACAGGACTTTTTGTACCTCGTGAAAACCTAACTTTTCTTGTACCCAGTTTAGCTCTGATGCCATGCCAAATGTAGACTCATTTAAATAAATGACTCCCAATCAACTAATGAGAGTCCCTAGCTTGAATACATAAATCTTGGGACAGTAAACTAAATATCCTATTCCTAATAGCACCAAGATTCATATATTACAGACTTAACTCTTTTCGTAGCTTGAGTTAAAGAATACAATTCCACTTTCTTGTAGATTGAACTTTTATCATAGCTCAAAGTACCAGATATTTCTTACACCCTCCACTTCCAAATTCTCAATATGAACATGACAAGTTCAATTTTTAATCTCCTATTCAGTAAAGTATAGAAACAAGCAGATAAATAACAACTCAACTGCAAGGAAAAACACTGTTCACATTCCACGATAAAAAAATATTCACAAACATGAGTTCCCCTTAAGAAGAAAAGAAAATACAAAGGAACCACTATTTTTATATCTAGAACAAAAGAAGTCTATCTAACAAATTCATACAAAACATAAAATAAAGCCCATCTAATACGTAAAAAATATTCAGAAAAGTAAATATATAAGAATCCATCAAAAAGAAGAAGTAGATAACTAAGAAGATAAAGCATGCTGGTCAGTGGTACCTCAGTCGAGATAGAGCCCATGGCTGTGCATATGCCCACCGATACCTGTTGAGAATCTCATTCTCCGAATACTTTACTCCATATTTCTGGCCAATTGTCTTATAAATCTACAATTCAACCAAGACAACCAGAAATAAGCCCAAAATATCAAAGAAACTCATCTTCCAAATCCTCTGAACTATGTTTCTCACCAATTAACTTTAATAAATCTACAGTTTAACAAAAAAAAAAAAAAACAGAAAAAAAGCCCACAAGAAAAATGTTAAGATCAAACAACACAAAAATTAAAAAACAAAAAAAACTACATATTTCTCATCAATAACTTCAGTAAATCAACAGTTTAACAGATAAAAATAAAAATTAAACCCAGCAGAATGAAATAGGGCCCAAAACCCACCACAAAAAGGATAAGCCCAAAAAAAACACAAAAAAACAAAGTACCCGATAGTTAAAAATAAAAAAACCCAGAAAATTAATCAAACAGTCTAAAAAACCCCCTAAGAAAGCTCAAAAACATTTACCTGAGCCATGGGCTGAGAAGGAACAACAAGTGTTCCAACAGCATCAACCAGAACAGCTTTGTGGGTTATGTCTCCATAAATGGATCGCCTGTACTCAATGTACTCTTTCATGCCAGGAAGATCAAAGCCTAAACATCTTGAATCCACAGAAGAAGAAGAAGGAAGAGGAGAAGCTGACGAAAATGCAGAGGAAAAAGAAGAGGAAGCCTTGAAATTCGCGTTATTGTTGTTGCAGAGTCCACTGAGAACACCATTACTGGGAATAGAGCAAAACTGCCCGAACCTTCTCCAAATCCTAATCGCCATCTCCACTTTCTATCTGTAGTTTTTCTTTTTCCTTCATTGGCGGAAGTGGGCCTTTTCCCTTCCTTTCGACTCTCACTCTCTCTTCTTCACTCTCTTTAAAATTCCTTTTGTACTCTCTCTCCACAATTTCTCTCTCCTAAAAATATATTTCTCTCTCTAAAATATATTTCTCTCTCTAAAATCTCTGGCTCTTTCTCTCGCTACAGAGTGTTGGGTTTATCTGAGTGAGTGATGAAATGGCTTCTGGAATAAGCGCTAGAAGTAAGGACAAGAGGACACGTGTACAGATGAGACGGCCGTTAGTGAACACGTCAGCCCTAGGAGCAGGCACTTGTGCGACCCACTTTATTCGGTTTTCAGATAGAGACGATGTGGGCCCGGTGGTCCTGTAACGCCATTGGCGGATTTTTCGCCAAATCGCCCTTCAGTAAGAACTGTATATATTTAGCATCGGAAGTCACGATCGCTTTTAACCGATGGATATGAAATCGGGTGGTTATGGGTGCGCAATTGACCGGTAAGAAGCTCAAAAAGAGATTTTTTCACCCATAGCTCTACGATCTTGCATCTAACAATCGAGATTAATTAGGACCTCATTGTGCCATAATAAATAAATAAAAATAATATAAGGTGTCAATCTTATACCATTGAACACAAATGCACATGGGAAAAGAGCCCAAGCTTAATTGATTGGTGCTTGACGAATGACAACGCTATATCCTAGGCTCAATTCTTACCAAGGGTAGGGCCCTCTCCTCACTGATTCATCCAAAAAACCAAAAAAAAAGGTAGGTGCACATAAAAAATCCTATATAAATAGTGTTTCGACATTGAAAACCCTTCAATTGATCATATCAACCTTGAGATATATAAATATCAAGAAAAAATAATTCCAAGTCCTAAAAGTAATACATCTATAGCAAGTTATCTAGAATGATATAATTTTTGGTTTTTTTTGTTAAAAAAGAAAGAGTATTTATAGAGCCGCAATTAGGAAATGAAATAGTTTTCAAACCATAAATTTTCAACATTAGAACCACATCTTCGGGCAAAATTTAAAAATGCACCTTGGTTCTACTGTATAAGAAGGGTGCCTTATATAAGCCAAAACAATTAGTAATATAGCAAGTAATTCATGTTTTTTTTGGCTAACGAAAATTCTAAAAATATGTTTTGAGCTTCTATTCAACTCGATTAATCATTGTACCATATATTTTTACCTTTTTTTGTCTATTATTATTATTATTATCCATTATTATATTTCTCTTGGAAATCTAAAGGTTAATAGGATGGTATCTCCTGTTTATCTCTATCTCCTTAACCGTTTAAATTTGGACTATTATTTGTAGGGATTGTATATTATGAGATCATTTATTTTTAGTCCAAAACCTAGACCCAAACACTATACGGGTCTAGAACTTGGTCCGGTTGGACTCGACCCATGCCCGTAAAGTATTGGAGATAAAATACTTCAAGCCCTAGTGACGGGTGATTGTGATAGTCATATTTAGTTATTAAATGACAAATCAAACAACTTGAAATCTAATGGCGGGTGATTGTGACCTTATTGCCAATAATATATCTTATGATGGTAAAGGGCAAAAAAGAAGAAAAAGAAGTTCATAGTGAGGGTGGCAATGGGCCTGACAAGACCCGGGACTTGACGGGATAGACCCAAGACCGATGGGTACGGGTATGGGTCCAACTTTTGGACCCAATGGGTTGGGTTCGGGTCCAAAACTTGGACCCAAATACCATTTGGGTCTAGGTTTGGGTCCAACCTGACCTGACCCGTTGCCCACCCCTAATGACCTGTAATTGTGCAAGTAGGCTGGGCCCGAACTAAGCCTAGGAAAATTTGGGCTGGGCCAGTTAAGCTAACAACTAGTTCTTAAACTCTTATGTGCATAGGGCTGTTAATGGTCAGGGTCGGACGGGGTCTGTTTCGAGCTTCGGGCCAGGCTTCGGGGTGAAGCACCTTTAAGGGAGTTGGGCTGGGCTTTTAACGAGCTAGGCCGAATGGCCTTGGGAAAGCCCGGAAATTTTCCCAACGGGTCGGGATGCCCGGAAAGCCCGGAAATATTTTGACCTGGCCCAATAAGCACATCCCAAATAATGCCTGGCCCGAGCCATTTCGAATGCCTTTCTATTTTTATTTTTATTTTATTTTTTAGTCTTCACATTTCAAATTTTCTTGTTTGTAGTAAGTAAAAAATAAATAGTATATTAATAAAGAAAACATTTATATAAAGTTGCAACCTTAAAATGTAGAACTATGGATGCACCTCAAAAATCCATTGGAAAATGTTGTTTTAATGTTAACAAACCCTCTAATTGAGCATCTCAACATCGAGATGTATGATTATTGATTATGAAGAAAAAAGGATTTTGAATCCTAGAAATAGTGCATCTTACAACATATTATCTAGACCATCCATTATCAAAATCTTCATATGTTTATAGATCTACTTGATTTTAACCATTTTTGGAGTATACAATTTTATAATTAGATATGAAAATAGGTTTTTGAGATAATCCTAAAAATATTTAGTATCAAAATTATATGTTACGATCAAATTTGAAGGTGCGCCATAATTGAATTATTTAAGGTTGCAACATTAAAGAAATCCCACCCTATTAATAATATATTATCTGATATAAAAAATCCTGAACCATGTTGGGCCCACCCTGCCTATTTACACCCCTAGGGGCTATGTTGCCAGTGAGAGAGATAAAGAGAATGTGTGTTTGTGGCCAAAATGCCTTGCCTTGAGAGAGAATTTGTGGCCAACAAGCCTTGCCTTGAGAGAGAATTTGTGGCCAACAAGCCTTTGCATCCACACACATGGGTGTGTGACATTAAGAGAGAGGTGACCATTTGAAGGAGCTAGTATTATGAATGAGACAGCTTCAGCTTGGTGTATGTGGTTGCATTTGTATGAATGAGACATCTTCAGCTTGGTGTATGTGGTTGCAGTTGTATGGATGAGACATCTTTAGCTTGGTGTATGTGGTTGCATTTGCATTATTAACAGGTCAAGTGAGAGGGATGGGTGAGTTATGAGAAGTGAATTTTGGTAAGAGAGAATGTGGAAAAAGGCGAGGAGATTGTGTGTGTGGTTGAAATCTTTAGAGTGGAGCCCTACATAAGTGAAAATGAAGCCACAAAAGCCAAAAGAGAGGGGGGATTGACACGAATCTATTTGAATGCTTTTTGTTCTCCTCCAATGGCCAGCATTGAGAGAGATAAACTAGGTCAGGAATGGGTTATATGCTCAAAACAATTTACGGTATTTTCAAGATATATTGTCCGTTACATTATTGTGTGAAGAAGCATGAAATATACTGTTTTATATAGTCCGTTTATGACTATTAATGTAGAGCAACGATTTCATACAACGGTTGTATAGTATTATAATGCAACCATATTAAAAAACAATGTTAGGGTCATTTGTTTGATCCAAAATTTAAAATATACACTCTTTTCATTCTAATGAACAACCACACAAAATAAAAATTTGAAAACCTAACCTACAAGTATTTTTTAGCTCAATTAACTTAGGCCGTCCATTTTGGTAAGATGCTTAAATCTAGCCCTTAAAGGTATTTTTTCTTTTCCAACTTAGATGGCTTCATTATCATTAGAAGAAAAATGTTAAAAAAGAAAAAAATGATTTTGGACTAGTAAATGATAAGATCTTGAAATTCACCAAATGAATGATCTAGATTCGTTGTTGGAGGTGAATTCATTTTGATGAAATCTAGGGGTTCAAATTGAATTTTTTTTTTTTTGGATTGATTATTGAGATGAATAGAGTATGTGTAAAAAATTTTAGGTCCTATAAAAAAAATTTTAGGTCCTATAAATACCACAAACATCGTTTTCTAGAAGTGTGGTTGCGTCATTCTATGATACAACTGTTGCATGAAATCATTGCCCATTAATGTATATTGTGATCACTCAAGAACCTGTACACTTATTTTGTTGGGCAAAAGATTTGGGAAATTTTCTTGATCAAACCACCTAATTATCACTATGATTATTTTCAAAATAAAACATTTGTTTTTTTTTTTTTTGGTAGATTAGTGGGGAATACATGCCCCTGCTTTTTTTTGTTAGAAATAATTAGCAGTTTTTGAATGCATTAGTCTCTATCAAGTACTCTAACGATAGATCTCACCATTAAAAAATTGGGCAGTCTCTATTATTAGAGTGATTACTTTTTTAAGTCCATAGAGTGCAATTTGGAATTTTATTTATGGGAAACATAAAATAACACCATTCATATTTAATACATGGAGGTCACAATCAATCTTGACCATTGGATGTGAAAGTGGGTGGTTGCATTTGTTCTATCGACTAGGTTCAAAGTTCAAAAGAAAATTTCTCAAACTTAATGAAACACCCATATAAGATTTCACATATGATGATTATAGGTACTTATAACATCCTTATACTAAATAAAAATAATCTTAAATCCTTTTTTATTGAGTTAATCTATAAGTTTAAACGGTTACATCAGCAAATCTCGAAGTCTTAAAAATACTCCTTGATTGAGTTTTATTTGAGGAAGTAAATGAACATTATGCTTCCCAAGGGACATGAAACATTTCGCTTTTAAAAAATAGAAAAAGTTTATATAAGCACGAAGCCCTAAACAATCAAATTAAAGTGTACCTCAAAACTTCATCAGAAAAAGTAATTCGATCATCTTGACCTTAAGATGTATGGACATGAGAAAATATAGATTTCAATATTGGAAACATCGAAACAATGCATCTTGTGATGTATTCTCTAGGCTGTCAATTTTCAAAATTTTCAAGTATTCATAGATATGCTCAATCTATGCTATTTTTTAACTTTAAATTTTATAATTAGAGATAAAAATAAATTTTCAAACCATCATAAAGATTGTTGATACTGAAACAACATACTCACATTTTATGTTTAGAAGTCAATAATGGAAGGAGAAATTATTATTAGTATACAAAAACTAACTCAATCACCTTTGTCTATTTTCTTGTACAATTGATCATTCTCTTAGAGCTGTCATGTATTAACATTTAGGTTTGCGAAAACCTTTGATTATATATTGAACCCATATAAGATTTTATATACATAGTTGAATTAACTGTTTTAGATTTACATTTTATGAATAAATTTTGTATACAATTCTCTTTAATTTTGGC